CATACCTTCATTATTACAATTTGTACCGTGTTCATTTAGATAATGTGGTGTGCTCCTTTGAGCGACATGACACCTTCACACTCCAACTGTCGTTCTCACCCCCTCCCTTTATCCTTGTGCAGGGAATGTTGATTAGAGTCTGCTTTATTTTTATGCCATTTTCTTTACTAGTCTTATACCAGTCTCTCTCTTGCTCCGTAAAATCCGTCTGCTCTACCCCTTCTTTACCTAGTTAACTCGACTCCTGCCACCAAATCTGTCCTACTCAAGGCGTTATTCGCCCTCACCTGCGTCTGGGTGACTAATTTGAGGCACAAGTCTCTTTCTAAGTCATGGTCACCTCTTTGCTACAGGTGCCACGTCTCAGATACAACAAACCTACCATCAGCCATCTAACTTCGGTCCCCGCCGTCCCTATCCTGTTTCTATCCCTAATACCATGTCTATGATTTGTCATGCCCTAGTCTCTTTTGTTCCAACCCATAAATGTTGTGGTACAGCTTGTTTTGATTTGGTTCAATGTTGAACCACAACATTTGTGGGTTGGCACACAAGAGACTAGGGAAGTAATAGGCTTGGTATTATGGATAGAAAGAAGATATAAACAGTGTAACCTAGAGCTGTAGTTGTGATAGGATTAAAACTTGAGTATTATCTCTGCTTATCACTTCTTTCTGATCAATTCCTTTTTTAGATCTCCATTGGAAGGATAAGAAATGAATCTATTAGACCGTCAGTGAGATGCGGATTATCGGCTCGAGTCAGATCAGCTGATCGAAATAGAGGTGGACGAGGTTAACAACACGCTTGATCAGACCACACTAAACTTGCCAAATACGACACACTTTTCGACTACTGAAATGTAAACCAGTCAGAAGTTTTGCTTGGGTGGGAGTGGGATAAGTGGTCAAGCAGTAGATAAATGGGTCAGGACAGAAAGAGGAGTGATAGCCCAACCGTTACGTCAGAAAATTTCTAATGGAATATATCTTATTGTTGAGGTCAATTACGATTCTGGCGAAACGTTTGAGAATGCACCAGTTCCACGGTCTGCCGCTGACTAATTACTATCACATCGGAATTCGAACAGGGTGCGTCCAGCTAAGTCACCTTGACGACAAGTCCAAGTTGCGAAAATAAGGCCAACTCATTTTTATACATCGAAAGGAGACTATGGCCATCCCAAAGGCCACACTTTATTGGTTTTATTAATTAACATTTATTTTCGTATTTTAGTATAGTTTCGAGACTGCCAGTAAATCAGTAATATGAGAGGTATTCACTCTATTTCGTTTAAGGTGAGGAAGTACTGATAGTAGAATTTTCCCACAATGACATGAGTAGAGCTGACATTTACATTGAATTTCACATTGCCTTGCTTTCCCAAAAAGTTGTTATCATCCAGGGTGGACTGCGATTTCAACGTCGCATCGGTCTTATCAACACCCCGAGCGGGAGTCGAGCCATGACAATGCAGAATGTCTGTTTGTCTAAGGCTCTTACTCATTAAGTGAACCGTAAAGAGTGATAATTTCACTGTTAGAAGTCAGGAGGCAAGACGTTTTTCCATCTTTCTCTTAGAAAATTAGTTTTATTGCACCTTTGGCAAAGATGCAAGAATTCCAGATGATACTGAGTCTAAATATTTGCTTTTGTGCTCTATCGTTTACTATGCTGAATACTAATTGAGGTGCACAACTCATATATTATCAGCATATTATAACCACTAAAAATATTTCAAACTTTCATATTGGTATTTTATCTGCATTATTTTAATTTACTTTTCGGATCTGATTAGATTTCCTTATCTCATGAACAGCTATGGTCTCACCAATTTGTGAAGACCCCCGGGAAAGTAAGCTTATAGGGTGGTTCTTCCCTTTATATCTCCATTAGTGGTAAATCTATGATTACCTCTACGGCGTCGAACCTTTAATAAAAATAACCGTTTTAGATACATTACTAAGAACGAAGTTTAAACTGATATATAATTTTTTTCATCTGACCTTTTTTATTCTAGACCACATCAAACAATGTACAGGAAATCATCGAATCTCGAGTTGAGAAGCGCACTAAGGGAACATTTGTGCCTATAGGCGGAACAAAGCTTCTAACTTTTATTGACGACTTCAACATGCCTGCTAAGGACATATTCGGTTCTCAGCCGCCTCTTGAACTGATTCGTCAGTGGCTTGACTACGGCTGCTGGTATGATCGTGTGAAGCGAAATGTACACAGGATAAATGGCATGTACCTGTTAACCGCAATGGGCCCGCCTGGTGGAGGTCGGATGGAGATTTCGCCACGGTTGCAGTCACGCTTTAATCAAATTGTCATCACATTCCCAACTGTAAGTAGAAACTTATGACTAAATCTAGTTGAGATAAATAGAGGAAAGTAACTATGAAAATTATTAATACAAATTTTTCGTCTCCTGTATAATTGGTATAGTCTAACGATCTCATCATTACTGCAGTAGTTAGTAGGAAATTTTACTGAACAATTCCATGTGAACTGTATGGCTTCAAGTCCTAAGGCGATAGGCAATGTCGCTCCCCTTAATAGTATAATTGTATTAAATCGGTGCGTTACACCAAGGACCTTTGTTTATCTTCACTTAAAAGCCCCTTTTTTAATGTATTACTTAGATTCGCTTTTATTTGTTTTCCCAATAGGATGCAAATCTAAAACGAATTTTTGGTAGCATGATCAACCAGAAGTTGCTGGACTTCGAAGAGGAAGTAAAGCCAATTGGAGATCTTCTGACAGATGCGACTATAGAACTCTACTCTGCAGTTATCCAACGCTTCTTACCGACTCCAACCAAAATGCATTACCTTTTTAATCTTAGAGACATATCTAAAGTAAGTCAGCGTGTATTATTTGGCCATTAACCTGAACTATTTTCATGAAGTTATGAAGATCAAAATTGTGTGTCCCCCGGTATGGTCGCAGTCTCCTTTCGATTCATAGAAGTGTGTTGACCTCGTTGTCACAATTTGGCATTTTTGTCTGGGCGACTTAGTAGAATTCACCTTGCCCGAAGTCCTCTGCCATAGTAGTTATCATAAATCCAAGCATCAGACCATGGACTTGTTACATTTTCAGACGTTTCTCCGGCCTCATAATCTGCACCATCAGTGAGTGTTGCCATTTTCCCCACCAAGCTACCAACTCAAAGTAAACAAGAGAAGAGAAGGGCCAGCATAAAGGAGACGCCTTGATCATGGATCTATCACTAACAGGAGGAAAATGTATCGCGATGAAAAAGGGGGGCGGAGGTGAGGATTTCCGATAATCAAGCGAAGGCGTTGTCGGCGTGTGATTTCCGTTTAGAATAAACCAGTACAACTTTGGGAGGCTGGCAGTCAGGTAGCTAGGTGGACGGTTAAGCAAACCGTAACAGAAAATTGGCGTTATGACCAAACTATACTAGAAATCCACTTGAGATGCCGCATGCGAACAGAGATAGGCGTCCACAGATTGCTTAGGCAACACGGATTTAATTAAGGAGACGACCTGTGAAGGCAATGCCTGATATCTGCAAGCATGAGACTGCGACCATACTGGGGGCCACACTATCTTAATCTTCATGTCTTCCATGGGGATCATTGCCTATTCGGACTGTTCGGTGAGGTGGCAATGATCGTGCTTCTAAGTCCTTTAGAAGTAGCGCCTAGCGTTAAACTCACACTAGTAATGGAACCGAGTGAAATCTGTCAGCCGGAAAGATAAAGATCTACGTGACCATGAGGGAGATCCCGATAAGATTCCCGAGTCGCATTAGCCGATCAAAAGAGTGGGTCGGGGTGAATAGCAGGTGTGATAAGGCAACACTAAATTTGCCACAAAAGGACACACATTTTAATGAGTGGAATGTAAACAAGTCAGACGTTGTGATAGTGAGGGAGTTCGATAAAAGGGTAAAGAGTTGATAGATGGGCCAGGACAGAAAGAGGAGTGTTAGTGGAACCGTTTTCGGCAGGGCGTTCGTCGAAGTATTGACTTCATTTGTCCTTTTGACGAGTTAGTAGCTTGGTGCGGAAAATGGCAACACTCACTGATGATGCCGATTACGATGCTGGCGAAACTCAAACCTTTCAAACTGATATCACCTAAAAACTAAAGCAGAGCTATGCTAGAATAAAAATTTCTTCAACGAAAGGAAAACCTTGTGGATCAGGATTGGGTATCCATAATGAATTTCCACTGCATTAGAAGAGCTTCTAAATATAGCTTGCAAAACGCATATTCCTAGAGACTGAAATTCTCAGGACAGCTTAGGATTTCTATAGCAGTCTTTTAAGTATAATATTTGCCACTAAGTCGCAAATATTATTATTTTGCTCAAAAGAACAATGGGGTAATTTTATATAATTGATGCATATCTTCGCCTCTTGATGGTGTCGATGACACAGCACAAAAGAAAGTATAGTAAGGTGGCAGAATCTGATCAACATTCCCAGCACAAGGCTGAAGGAGATATGAGAACGCCAGTGTGGAGTGTGGAGGGTTCTCATGAAAGCCGCTCAAAAGGGGACACCATACTACATCTAAATATGCACGGTAAAAATGGTAACAGTGAAGGCGTGATACAAGGATATAGGAAATGTGAATAGCCCGGGACCGAAGAAGAGATACCACAACTGTTTAGCAGACGTTTGGTCAAAGGATGGGCTTCCCCTGTCTCTTTGACGAGTTGTAATATGGTGCTATGAATGGCGAGACTCACTGACGATGCCGACTATGATACCGAAGAAACGTCTGAAAATGTAGCACGTCCACAGTTCGACTTTGGAAATGATCATGCATACAATGGACTCCGGACTAGGTGCGCTCCTCTAAGTCTTCTTATCAATATGACCAAATCGCGAAAACAAGCTCAAATAACTTCTCTACAACGAAAGGAGGCTGCGATCACACAAAGGGCCACACCATCTTGGTCTTCATATCTTCGAATAAACACTTTATCCTTATATTTTTTCGCTGCATATTTGATTATACCAGGTATTTCAAGGCCTTTTGCGAGCTAACAAAGGCTATCAGGACACTCGTATTTCAATGCTTCGCCTTTGGGTGCACGAAGCCTTCCGTGTTTTTGCAGATCGCCTCGTTAATGACAAAGATCGCACCCAGTTTGTCGAAGTACTCGGCGATAGTCTGGCTAATCATTTCGACCAGACTTTCCACAATATCTGTCCTTCTCGACAAGCACCTATCTTTGGCGATTTTCTGAATCCAGATGGCTTTTATGAGGATATGCAAGATCTCGACAAATTGCGCAAATTCATGATAG